GCAAATACACATGCACTTCAAAAAAAAGTATTAAAAGAAATACTGTTAAGACCTTGAGTTGGGAAATAATTTCATAGATAAGATACACAAGGCACAATTCATAAGAGAAAAGGTTAATAAATCTAACATTGAATTCAAAACTTCTGCATAAAAGAATTCATAAATGAAGCAAAAAGATAAGCCATAGACCATAAGAAAACAGGAAAATCAGAGAAGAAAAAACCAGAATGGCCAATAAACACATATAAAGATGTTCAACCCTCACAAAAGGAAATGCCAGTTATTTAGATGCCACTTTACAACCGTCAGATTGGCAAAAATCAAAAGTCTGACCAAGTGTTGATGGGGGGTGGGAAAACAGGAATTGCTAATCAGTGCAGACAGAAGTAGAAATTGAGTGCAACCACTCTGGGGAAAGATTTAGCAATACCTAGCAAAAATGAAAATAAGTACCTCTACAAGCCAGCATTACCACTTTGAGATATACTTATTTCCAAAATAAATCTTACACATGTACCCCCGGGAGAAATGTATAAAAATGTTCATTGTTGCACTATTTGTAGAAGCAAATAAAAAAAGGAAACAATCTAAATGGTCATTAATAGAACAAAAGAATAATAAATGACAAGGTACTCACAAGAGGGAATAACAAACAAATAATAAAATGAAGTAAGTACATTCAGGCACATCGCAACATGAATAGGTTTCAAGAACAATGTGAAAAGATAAAGCTCTACACAGAATTATAAGTAACAGTATGATAGTATGTATCTACATCTTTAAACCATATAAAGTCATTCTACATATTGTTCATGACTATCCATAAGTAAATAAAATAGAATGACCTATATAGGAACGATAACAAATTTGCAGCCATGGTTACTACTGGAGAGGGAAACAAAAGGGACTTGAACTTTCAGGAAAGCTCTTTCTCTCGCTCAAAACAAAACAAAACAAAACAAAAAAATCTGAAGCAAAAATATCCAAATATTTTTTACTTGTGATTTTTGCATTTCTGGCATTATTTTGTGTACTTGTCTGTATTTTTTTGCTTAACTTTTTTTTCATTCAGTCGATCCATGTCTTCTTAACACCAATCAGAAATTCAGAGGAAGAGAAAAATTAAACTGAGTTACACAGGGTTTGGGGAAACCTGTGAATTTCTGCAAAGGGTCCCATTTTTGTTTCCCATCCTCAAAAGGAATGAGAAGTCATGTGGGCACAGTAAACTCTCCATGTGATAAACCACACCACGACAATGCCACAGGAAAGATATCAAGGCCAGTTCTCCAAACGTGCAGCTCACCTCTCGCACATGTCTTTTCAGGTGCATGTATACACTCTGTCCAGTTTTTCGAAAATGTCTTTCAACATGTTCCCTTCCAAAGGCCAAAAATGTATTCATGCATACATAGAGTCCACCTTCAGAATTCTAGAAGAAAGAGACAGGTCACAACATTAGCCAAGGATATCTCGCCAAGTCATTTAGATAAAGAAAAGGGAAGGGAAAGAGGGCAAATGATGAAGACAAAGCCCAGCAAAAGGCCACCTGGCTGTTGTAGTCATCTGCAATGACCCTCTGAGGCTCCACAGCCACCCACAGCATCAGCGTCTGCCCCAAACCTGGATTCCAGGTGCTCTGGACAGCTGCTCACAATCTCCCAGTCAGGCAAGAGCCTCAGAGGGCCTGGGAAATAAACATGCTTGTCGGACTCTCCAAACTTGGGTACGGGACCATAAGGGAAACGAGAAGCTTGGCCAGTGAAACAACTACCACCACGGCAATCCTGTCTCATCATTCTCCCTCCCTGATCAGTGCAAGTCTCCAGGAACATAAAGTTTTATATTCTTTTAGCAGGGGTTCTTCGATTCAAAGATATTCTTCTCTTCCTTCAATGACACAGAATATCTGACCGTACCCATTATAAATTAGGATAATTCAATAAATCAATAACTTAATGAGTAAATAATAAAGGATAGAGCCCTCTAATAATCCTAGCTACATATTTTTGCACGCCTGATATGTGCCAGGTGCTTCTCATGTATTATTTCTAATCCTAACAATACTACAAGCTGCTTATTATTATTTCCATTTGACAGTTGAAAAAAAGAATTAAGGGGGCATCTGGGTGGTTCAGTCCGTTAAGCATCCAACTTTGGCTCAGGTCATGATCTCACGGTCCGTAGTTCAAGTACCACATCGGGCTCTATGCTCACAGCTCAGAGCCTGGAGCCTGCTTCAGATTCTGTGTCTCCCTCTCTCTCTGCCCCTCCCCTGCTAATGCTCTATTTCTCTCTCAAAAATAATAAAAATTAAAAAAAATTTTAATATTTAAAAAAAATTTTTTAAGAATTAAGGATCAGTCACTTGCCCAAGTTCTCACAGCATGGAAATGTCAGTTAAATTGACTCTATTTCTCTTTGCAGCCTTCTATGCCACATTTCAAATATTATTTAATTACAGACACCCTGCCACAATGAACAGTCAAGGATATTGTTCACAGTTTAGATACTTGATTTTCCATGCCAATTTCATCTCTCCTTTTTCTCTCACTTTGCTTAACATGCATCTCTCTAAATTTTGCCTATAAAATCAACCACCTTTTCCTCAATGAAACTGGATTCTTATTAAGCTCTCATTAGTCTCGCCTCGCCACATAATTTTAAAAAGCAAATTTTTTTAAAAAACCTGTCAGAATTGATAGCAAGCACCTGTCAAAATTCCTTACATTACATTTTAGTAGAGCACAAATTCAACATCAAAACAGGCATTGATGTTCACTACAAATATATGAAAAATAATTTGTAAGTTCCAGTAACTCAAGATTGTTTATTTTTTTAATTTCTAATAAAATTCCCCAACACTATATGGTTTATAAGCCAGACATAAAGGAGTCTTATCACAATGAGGATATTACAACAGCATCAGTTCAAATATGTGTCTATTATTGTAGCAAATACATTGCATAAGGCAAGAAAAGGAAAAAAGCATAAAGATCACAAAGAAAGAAGTAAACTGGGTCTCAATTTGCTGATGACATTTACTCTATATGGAAAATCCTTAAAAATCTAAAAACTACTAACGAGTAAAACTAATACATGAATTTAGCCAGGTCACAGAATACAGATTTATAGGCAAAAATCAATTGCAAGTTTACACTCTGGAAACAAACACTTGCAAATTAAATTTTTTTAATTTGACTATAAAATAGCATCCAGAAAACTCAGTTATTTAGCTGGTGCTTCTGGATAACTGTTTCCCTTTGAAAGAGATCATTTGAATAAAACTAGAAAAGTTCTTCAACTGGAGGCATATTACATTCACTTGATCATCAAATTAAATATTTTCAAATGTTTTTTTTTAAAAATAGGTGTTTTTTGCATAGTCATAACCCTTAAAAAACTTGTTATCATTATAATGGCCAGTTATTCATTAAGCCCATTAAATTGAGCACCACAGGGGCGCCTGGGTGGCGCAGTCGGTTAAGCGTCCGACTTCAGCCAGGTCACGATCTCGCGGTCCGTGAGTTCGAGCCCCGTGTCAGGCTCTGGGCTGATGGCTCAGAGCCTGGAGCCTGCTTCCGATTCTGTGTCTCCCTCTCTCACTGCCCCTCCCCCGTTCATGCTGTCTCTCTCTGTCTTAAAAATAAATAAACGTTGAAAAAAAAAAAAGTTTAAAAAAAAAAATTGAGCACCACATATTGTGATTTTTAAAAAAAAAAATAACACTTCCATTCTCTTCCAATAAAATGGAACCCAATCAAAAGAATTCAAACCAGAAGATATACCAGGGAAAATATGAGATTTGTAACCAGGGTCCTGAACTACCACTAATTAGCTCTGTGGCCTAAGACAGGTTGTCATTCAGTCTCTGAGCTTCAGGATTCTCCTTTACAAGCATGGCTGCAGCAATAATTCCCACCTCACATGGTTTCGTCAAGTTCAAAGAGGATGAGATACATTCAATACTATAATGCATTCATAGCAATTATTTATTATGAGCTACAGGTCTGTGCGCTACACGTATCTCCTATTAGCTCAATCATTTTATAATTGGAGGAAACAAGGAAGAAAACAGTGAGCCAGTCAGCCACACAGGCTAGGGGCAACAAATATTAATCTATCAGAAAAATATGTTAAGCAACGAGCAGGAGAACCAAGAAACCAGCAAACAGAGGAAGAAAAACGTTCAAGTGCAGCATTTTTCTGGAGAAAAAAATACACGATAGCTATATAATGCAAGAGTTTATAAAGTAATCTCTAAAATAATCACAAGGTCTTTGCTAATTTCATTGCCAAGACTTCTTGACTTCTTAGGAAATTTGATAAAAATTTAATATACCCCAAACATTCGTTCTCAGTCTGGAGTCACTTGATACTGTCACAAAGTCAATAATCAGAGAGGAAAATGCTTCAGCACTCACAGACAAATGGCCCCACATAGGAAAGGATTCTATTACAAACAACCATGGGTCTCCTCCATCTGACACATGCTGGCCTCTGAAGCAGTATGTGCCTGTCCACTAGGGGCTCTGAGATGGAGGCACTGCCCACAGGACTTGCCAGCAGTACAAAAGCTTCAGGACACAGTGAGACACAAACCCCCTCAAAGCTACCCCATACAGAACAAACACACACTTTAATCTAATGGTCTAACGTTTTCTTCCCTCCTGCCTTATTAATGTCTAAACAGTGGCCCTATAAGACACTTTATTTTGCATACAAAGACAGTACTCCATGCTATGTGCTCTGAACAGCTTCTTTCACTAATGATGACCAGTGTATGCTAACAAGTCTATCCCTCCCGTTTCCTCTGTGACCAAAGCACAGAGAATAGTTTTAGAGCCTGGGATCAGAGCTGAGCTAACTGATTCTTAGTTTTCAAACCCTCAACCTCGTGTCTTAACCAGCCAAGCCCCCACTAAGATTACTGCCCCGGAAAATACCCGTAAAGCACTTGCCTTCCTGTGGCCAAGAGTGCAGCCATGAAATCGGGCAGGACCTTCCTTCATATAAGCACTGTGTCAAAACTGCGGAAACTAGGATCACATCTTGGTTTTTGTAATAATGTTGGCAGAGTACACACACTGCACTAGATTGTGAAGACTTGGGGGGGGGGGGCTCTCTCTTAATGTCCTTCATCTCAAGATTTGATGCAATATGTCTTTAGAAAAAAATTTTTTTTAATGTTTAAAGAAAAAAATCATTGTTAGAAAACTACCAACGAACAATGAAATACAACTCAAAGAATATCAGGGCAGAATACAAAATAATACTTTTCTCAAGTCATGGTGGTAGAGTGCTTATTAAACCAGATTACAGGGCGCCTGGGTGGCTCAGTTGGTTAAGCGTCCGACTTCGGCTCAGGTCATGATCTCACAGTCTGTGGGTTTGAGCCCCGCATCGGGCTCTGTGCTGACAGCTCAGAGCCTGTAGCCTGCTTCAGATTCTGTGTCTCCCTCTCTCTCTCTGTCCCTCCCCTGTTCATGCTCTCTCTCTCTGTCCCAAAAATAAATAAATGTTAAAAAAAAATTTTTTAAACAGATTACAAATGAAATTCATATATATTGCATTAATATTTTAAATAAATGGTAGCATATGAATAGAGATTCCAAAAACACATTCTGTGGTAACTGCTTAATATATATCAAACCACAAGAAACGCAAAAATAAGGGGAAATCACTAATAAAAGTTATTGGGGAAGTTAGATACCAGTATACAATAAAATTAACCTAGATCCACATCTTATGCCAAACACTGTATGTAATAAGGTCCAGAGAGCTCTAAGAGATAAGCATTTAAAAAGCTAGAAATGAGCAGAATAGCGTATTTTATCCCACTTATGAGGGGGAAATAATTTCTGGCCGTGAAAATACAGGATAGAAAGATGGCGTAATTGAGTATAAAAATGTAAACACTAATGAACAAGTTTTATACCACATAATATAATGAAACAAATAGAAAACCAATCATCACAGAATGAGGAAAGATGACAAGTACAACGAAGAAAAGTTTATATCCAAGCTATGTAAAAACTGATAAAGTCACAAGACGTCAGCATTCAGGTTCAACTTGGTAAGTTTTTCTTTTAAGATCATTTAGTTTTAACTGTGAGAAAATATTAAAATCAAATCATCACATCCTCACTACGTCCTGAAGTAATAAGCATAGTAAAACAATCTCAGGGCAGGGGCGCCTGGGTGGCTCAGTCAATTAAGTGTCAGACTCTTGGTTTTGGCTCGGATTGTGATCTCACGGTTTTGTGAGTTCGAGCCCCACATCGGGCTCCAAGCTGACAGTGTGGAGCATGCTTGGGATTCTCTGTCTCCCTCTCTGGCCCTCCCCAACTTGCGCTATCTCTGTCTTTCTCAAAATAAATCAATAAACTTAAAAACATTTAAAAAAAAAATCTCAGGGCAAGTATATGCCTACTAAACCAGCAGAAAGTATGAAAACTACAAAGCCTGAAGCCACAGAGAAAACCTGGATGGAGTCTCACAGTATAAATCGGTTCCATCCTTCTAGAGATCAATCCAACTGTGACTCTTTGACACAGTTATTTCTCCTTTGGGTACAGACTTCAGGAAACCAAAATAAAGAGAAAAGAAAGCTAATTTGCACAAAATATTCATAGATACACTGTTTATAATAGGAAAAAGAGCTCCCAAACAAAGGAGATAAAATATGTGGCATATAAACAAAGCAAAATGCTATAACGTTATTTAAATTGACATATTACGAAATATGTGTAATGTACACAGAACATAAGTATAGAATTGTGCATAATTTGCACAGAAAAATAATGTTCATGAAAAAAAATACATGCTGATGACAGGGAGGAAAGAGAAGAGAAGAAGGGAAGTCTGTTCATTGACCAAGACCCAAAATGAAACTGGAATGTGATCAATGTTTTATATTTAAGTTCTTGACCTTGGGACTCACAGCCTTACCTCCTGTTACCTTTGAGCTTGGTCTAAAGAGGCGTTTGTCAAACTACTGTCATGAAGAACCAGGTTGTTTTCTGTTGTGTTTTGTTTTGTTTCTGTTCATTAAGGAAAGATATGTGGTCCCACTGCACATGACTAGACCCTGGCTCAGCCAGATATGAACTTGCTCCCACGTGTAAGTCCCACAAAACCCAAACGGGTCTATATGCTGTCCAAACAAACTAATCCACTGCTCACATGCTTGGATGTGGCTACAATGTCAAGTTGCTATAGAAATTACTAAATGCTTACTCTCAATGTTTGTACTTCTCTCTTGGCACCAGTCAGCTGACCACACTTGAGTAGCATTGGTCTAGAGCTAGTGGCTGCCAAGTCCACACCCCATTCTTAGAACTGCCCAGTTCTGGAACGGGGCAGTTCTAAGAATGTGTCATGGTGAAGAAAGTGTGACTTCAAGGACCTTCAGAGACACCAAGCCTTCAGAGCAGCCCACATCAAAACTAGCTACACACACCGATGATGCCTTCACGACTGTACAAGTGCCCCCGATTCCACGCCTGTCCACTTATCCACCTGCCAGCCTCTGCCCATGACCACATCTCCTGACTCCTCACCCAGTGCTGCCGGTCCTGACCTTCAAATCCGTTTTTATTTCAGAACCGTTAGCATCTCACTCACTGAAATCTACAGCTGTGAGAAACCCATGCTTCCTTCATTTGAGGCCACTACGTTCAGAAGCTGAATCACACGTTCACTCCTTAAGGGTAGGGAAATCATGTCACATTCATTACTAAATTCCAACAACAGTACTCTCTGGGGCAGAGCAGAACTGAACAAACATATGGAATGAGTGGAAAAGTTTGTGTAGTTATCTCTCACTCGGCTACATAGTTTAGTCTCTCTCTCAAACTGATCCTCAATGTCCTTCTGATTTGGATTTAAAACACTTCAGAGCACAGGCTCCATCTCAAGTCACTAAACAATGAGGATCACCAAAAGAAAACAGATGACCGTGCATAGAAAAACAGCCTCAGGTGGCTCAGTCGGTTGAGTGACCGACTTCGGCTCAGGTCATGATCTCACAGTCTGTGAGTTCGAGCGCCGCATTGGGCTCTGTGCTGACAGCTCAGAGCCTGGAGCCTGCATTGGATTCTGTGTCTCCCTCTCTCTCTGCCCTTCCCCCACTCATGCTCTGTCTCTCTCTGTCTCAGAAATAAAAAAACATTTAAAAAAATTTGTTTAAAAAGAAAAACAGCCTCAGGCGCCTGCAGGAACGCTAGGTTTTCAGGTTTGTTCGGTTAAAGTCAAGCCCTTGGCAGCTTGGACACTTGAACCCCATTACCCCAGCTCTCCTACTTTCTGTGACCAAGCCAGCCTCCTTGGCTCTTCAGGACTGTGACTGCCATGTCCACACCCTATCCCACCTTGGACCCTATCTGGCCCCTGCTTCCAGAGGTCACCCAGCCCAGAATGACCAATATGCGCTTCCCTGCCTGTTTTTAGCTAAATAAGATTCTAATTAGCATTTTCATGATGCACTAAACAGAAATGTGACCAATGTGTAACACTTGATTTAGAAACCTGAATTCACAAGGAAGTCAAGAAATACCACTCAGGGCTTCTCTGAAGTTCTATAATGATTCCCATGACAATTCTCCCACCTCACAATCAAAGAGAGAGGAGCAACATTAGAAGCCCATATGTTGTTTAATTGCACTCTTCAAAGCATGTCAATATAAATACGATGGATACATAGCTGTTCATTTATTACTTTACATTGTATTATCCTATATGCCGTTCAGAAGTAACATCAAGAACGAAGTCACCTTTTTTTATACCGCTGCCATTTAAAAGAATATTAAAACTGAGGTGAATATAAAGGTCAAGGTTACATGTTTTCAGAATAGCAAGTGAACAGTCATTTTAAATAAAAATACACCACATTGTCAATCAGTAGGTGTTCAGAGAACTTTGTTTACGATGGTGTGTTCTTGGAGACTTGGAGACCAGCCTCCGCTGGAAGACAGGAAGGGAGAGTGAGCCTGTGTGAACAGTGCACTCAGGAAACAGAGTCGCTGCGTAACACTTGTTTTTATAACCACTGAACAGTGTGGAAAACAAGCGGTCATTGCCGCAAAGAGAAACATGATGTAGGTAGATGGAGTCACAACAAATCCACGTCCAGGACAAATTACATACTAACACCCAGGAAGACTGTGACTCACACACGCATGCAAAAGGCAGATGAAAAGGACAACACAGTATTTTCTAGAACACTGATTTTTTTTAAAGCAAAGAAAAAGAAATCAACTGACAAGCTGCTTGTAACAGTAAAAGGAAATAACCTGAATGCCCAAGTATGTGGTACATTCATGAAATATAACACTCCTCAGCCATTAAAATTGATTTGTAATGAGTAATTCCTGATATAGGAAAAGCACATGGTATTTCTGAGTGAAAGAAGCAGGTAACAAACCTGTATATGACGTTACAATGGACACAACATGCATGCACTACACGGCATGCGATGTTATCTCAGCATGAAGAGATGATGTGGGATTGCTTTCCTCATGTTGTCTTTTGGCATTTTCTCATTTTTCTTCAGAAAAAATGATTCCTTTTTGGGGGCAACTGGACGGCTCAGTTGGTTAAGCATCTGACTCTTGACTTCAGCTCAGGTCATGATCTCACAGTTTGTGAGATCGAGCCCCGTGTCAGGTTCCACACTCTGCTTGAGATTCTCTCCCTCCCTCTCCCTTTGCCCCTCTCCCACACATGCTCTCTCTCAATCTCTCAAAAAAAATTGATTCAGGGGTACTTGGGTGGCTCAGTTGGCTAAGTGTCCGACTTCAGCTCAGGTCATGATCTCACAGTTCGTGAGTTTGAGCCCTGCATCAAACTCTGTGCTGAAAGCTTGGAGCCTGGAGCCCCCTTTGGATTCTGTGTCTCCCTCTCTCTCTGTTCCTCCCCAGCTCACTCTCTCTGTCTCTCTCTCAAAAATACATAAACATTAAAAAAAATTAATTGATTCATTTTTAATAGTAAAAAACAATAAAATTTTCCTTAATTAACTATGTTTAGAACCAAATATACGTACACATAATAGAACAAATGCTCCCTTTTCTTAACCCAAGCTTTCCTTAGGCTTTAACAACCAACTTCATAGCTTTAAGAGTCTGTATCTTCTTGCAACTCACAATAAAAGTGTGACCTGAA